GCTAAAAGCTTCGAGGGGCCATATATCATAAAGGAGGTGTTGGCTGATGGGACATTTAGATTGCAGACTCCAACCGGTGGCGACGTTCCGCGAGTATGGAATGCCGCCAACCTTATTAAATTTTATCAATAGATTGTATTCCATCCATGTCTTTTCTTGAGATTTAATAAATCCAGCTCTCTGGCACATCTTGTCTCCAATTCTCAAAAAAAAGGAGCGACCACAAGAGATCGCTAAAATTGCACGGTGATTCATGCTAAGACACCCAGTAATGGGTGAAGCGTCGAACCCGGTCAAGCGACCAAGTTTGAAGACGACGCCGTGGCAAGAAAGTCTGAGAGAACGGCTAAGTCTGGAACACAAGATCTGTTGATCGCATGAGCGACCAGGGGATCTTGGGGGTATGGCGACGCCACAAGGGTCAAAGTAACCCGAAAGTGGCTAAGTCAAAAGAGGCGAGGTATTCTCTGATTCAAGTCCGAGGAAACCTGAACGTCAGAAGTAGGATGCGAAAGAGAAGAAGGTGAAACTTGTAAGTAAACAGGTAACATCAAAATACATTCACAGAAATGTTCGTTACATTTCAAGGATAATCTCTTGCATCTACTACAGTACAGTTGAGAACAATCTCTACGTAAGAAAGGATACTTCCCCATACACCGCCTACAATGAAAAACAACAATCTAAGATTTTGCGAGCGAAGGTCTAGGGGGGACAGGCAGGTGTGAAAGGTAGTTCTGCGGCTGTATGGGCAGGCAAAACTCCGATCACCGGCCGTCCAGGACGACCACCTTTCTTCCCCAACATGGAACGGGAGTGGTCGCCCCCAGCCTCGGCAAAAACCCACCGCCCTTCTCCTGCCAAGGAAGGACGGGGGACGGCTCACTTCTCTGTGAACCCCAACCAGCATCACCTAGGCGAGGACGGAGATCCTGGAGCCGCCCGAGCTACTTCAGGTCTCCTAGGGTCTTCTGGGGAAGTGAATGGCAAGCGGGGCGAGGTAGGGGAGAACCCAGTTCTTCCCCTAATGCAACCTCCTCCGTAGGCCTCACCGGTGAACTGGTGCGACTCTCGCTAGTCCATCGCTCAAGACTTGCGTAGTATGCGCACTCATGCTCCAGGAGGGGTAAGTGCTCATCTTGAAAGCTCTCCCAGGCCATACATTGCAGGGAATGGAGGGAGCATGGAGCATCCCAGTCAATCCGCCCGTCAGGCAGGCGGTTGGCGGAGAGGGCCTCGTACGCCTCACTAAAGTCTTCATAAGGGTTTGGAGGTGGTGGCGGCGGTTTCACCGACGGCCACTGCCGGCGAGGCAACCGGCGACAGAATTCGTAAGGGTCAAGCCCCCCCCCCCCAGTCGTTGGAATTGACTGACTTGGGGGAGGAGGCAGGCTCCGGCGAAGAAGGAGCCGGCCCCTCGGAAAGATCTAGAGAAACAGGAATTCCTTCAGACATGGCAAGAATGGAGAAAAGGAGGATATTTGGTGATGGAGCAGAGTAGAGGCCAGGGGGGCTTATAAATAAGCCAGGGCGAAGGAACCGAAGAGGCGGTCAAGTCTCGAGGCAGCCGAACCAATAAAGCAGCTTTGAGCCGCGCGAAGGTCCAATCAGAAACGATGAAGGGCATTGGATCAATTGGGCGGCACGATGGCCAATCCAGAGATTGAGCCCGGACAGGTAAACGGGCCGGGACTAGGAGTTGGGCCCAAACTAAAACATACATGTTAACTAGCCAAATCAAAAAAGAGAGTGCTGAAGTAAAGCACCAAAGAGAGAAAGCACATGGTGAATCTAGAAAATCAAACAACATAGGAGCATTGTATCAAAACGACAAATCATTCCGAAGGAAAAGAAAGAGGCAAGTGTTGGTAAAGCTATGGGGGAACAATGGGGGATTTAGACGGCCGAGCCGGAAGGTCCACCCGCTTTGGATGTGGCTAAGCTGGCCCCTGGATTCTGGTCGCTCTGACCACCTTCCACTTCTTCTTCCTCTTCTTCCGACGCGCTTGAGCTCCCCCCGTCCAGATAGGGACTGGGGTTGAACTCGGCCAAGGAGCGGCAGGGAGGAGGGAAGCCAAGGTCGGGGAGAGAGAATCCTTTAGGGAGCTGGGCCAGCCTGTCGTGGAAGACCTGTTAGGCATGGAAGAGTCCGCAATTGAAGGACTTGGTTCCCTCCTTGACCATCCATTGAGCCCCAGGTTCAGTTTTGAGCCAAGCGGCCGTTAGCTCTTCCATCCGCTCCATCGCGACTACCGTGAAGTCAGGAGAGGACTTGAAGGATTCTACCGCTCCCTCTGCATGGCGGACCCGATCGCTCCTCTCCACCTTCAACTGCTGGATCAGGTCATGTTTCTCCCCTTCCAGCTCGACCACTCGAGCAGAAACAGATTCTACCTCCAAGGAAAAGGAGGCCTTGTCTGCCTCAAGGGCGACGCATCGGTTCTCCTGAGAAGCTTTCTCCACAGCAAGCGCCGCGCAACGATCTTCTTTCTCCTCCAACTCCCTGGTGAGTCGAGCGACCTCCTCCTGCAGCTCCTTCTGCTTGGCCTCGGCTGCTTTCATCGCCTCGTCCGCGGCGGCCTAGCGACCCCGTTTCCGGCCGACCACCTCGATCATCCCCAGCGTAGCCTGCGCAAAGGGGTGAGGGTTAGGGGCCTAAAGAAAAGGAGTGATGCGTAGGAGATCAAGACCAGTACCTGACTGAGCCTCAAAAGGACCATGTTTTCAAGGTCGTCCTCGGAGCCTGCCGAGATACGAGCCTGGTCTTCTGCAGGCAGAGTGATAAGAGTCTCCAGCTGTACGTCTCCTAGGCTTTGGGGTAGGGGAGGGATGCAGAGCCTCGTCGAGCGACCCCCGGTCGCCACCTCGTAGGTCACTGCGGGTGGTGATGGAGGTCGCTCCAAGGCAATGCCCTGAGACGACCCAGCGAGTTCGCCACCCTGCATCACGGGGTGTGGAGGGGATTGGCCAGCCATGGTACCCGGTTCCTGGGTAGCATCTTCTTGGTCCTCCACCACAATTACGGCCGGCGCTCGAGAAGGACCCTCCTCGTGGTGGGATGAAGAACGTTTGCCCTAGCCCTTCGTCTCTCTCTTCCTTTTCCTCCCTGCAGTGAAGCGACTGAGTAGGAGATCGTTGTCCATCTCCTCTCCTGAATCTTGTAATTCCACTGGAAACAAAGGAAATGGTCAGCCTTGGGAAAAGATAAACTAAACATCTGGGCAAGAGAAAAGGTCACCTACCAAAAGGACCACAGTCAAGACCTTCCTCAGGAATGTCCTTCAGCTGGTCAGGCTGATGCCCCCCGGGGATGTCCCTCAGTAGGTCGGGTTGGTGGCGAAGCTCATCCTGGACAAACTCGAACCCCAACCCGG